TTTAAAAAATTTTAAACTGACGACTTTGAAACAAGAAAAAAGCCTTATTATTATGACAGTCTAGTAAACGCGAGCATCATAACACATTTCCAATTTGGACATCCCGAGGATATGGACACCCGATTATGACACTAATATTCTTGCCAATAAATACAAACCTGGTTGATTGTTCTCAAAAACTTGTTTCGATGACACGAATTTTTAAGCTGCAGATAATATCCAGAGGCCATAATAAATAACATATTTAATTAAACTATCTACTACATGCCTGTAGCAGACATTAAATGTCGGTTTTCGGTCACGTGGAAGATAATTACGTATGATGTACCGTTATAATCTTAATCTAAGAACACTGAATGCGGATAAGGATGTAACTTGTCCAGACTCTCTTCTAAATACCAGACTCAATGTCCGAATGAAAGCGATCCAGGTGAAGAATCATGTCTTGGCCGCATGCGTCATTGGGGAAGGATCGACTATGACACTGTTACTTATATACGTCAATAACAAGGGAATCTGCGCTGAGACCGTAAAAGTCAAAGCACATGATGGGCGTGCACCTGGCCTTTACGATTTCTCAACTTTGGTCATACTATTAGAAACCATCCTGTTTCCTTGAACTACTCCATGTGGTATGATCAAGGAAGTCAGTTATTAAATCACGTGGGCTATTGGTAGATTATGTTTGTCAAAGCTATGGGATATTATCACCGACCCTGAAGATCAAATCCATTTCCATTAGTGGCTGCTCTTGGGACTGGAGTTTGTCGACTCAAAGGCTTGCTGTATTCCGACGATACGTTGAATGTATTACAACAGCCAAGTTTGAATGGGAAGCACTAGTAGTTACCGGAGGTGGTGGAATATTACAAGTTCCCAACACCGGCTTGTATGTGGGTAATGCCGGAATCTGGATTCCTTACCATTGTTTGGACGCTGGGACAGCAAACCAATCAACTCACCGTGGAAAAGACGTGGTCTCAGTGGTGGGATGGAACTGAATATTGAGGCGCAAGGGTTGACATCGAAGCTGACGATAAGAACAGTTTTGCTGCAATTGCTGAAATTGGGTATAAGCGTAAGAACACCACAACTGGAAGATACAGCGCTACTCTCGTATTGATTGGAATGAGAGGTGCCGGTAAAACAACCCTTGGTAAACTTGCGTTTAATGTTCTTAAGCGGAAATTTATCGACGATGATGTCTACTTGGAACAGAGTTGAACACAACCATCGAAGTAATAACGGATGGGATGCATTCCGTATCAAAGTATCTGTCGACTCTATTAAGCCAATTTCCGACTGATCATATTATCGCATGTTTTGTGGAGGCCTTGTTGAGAGAGAAGCAAATTGAATACTTTTGAAAAACTTTATCGATGAAGGTTGGAATGCGTTACGTATTGTACGCGTCCTTGAAAAGGTAATCAATTATCTGAATGAGGACAATAGCCGGCCCACATGAGGTGAAGATATACGCAACGTGTGAAATAGATGCAAAAGCGTGTACGCAGTGAGTCCAAATCATGAATTCGATTGTATGAAGCAATGAAGCGGGATTTATGCTGGCCGGTGGCGTGAAGCAGAGTAATGTTAACAGACTTTCCATATCATCTCCGAGAGAGTTACCAACCAAGTTTGGCCATAGACGAGGGTCGACCATACGAATGGTATGCTGGACTTAGAGGATTCCGCGAATAAATCTGCTTCTCCATTAATGTATAACGCGAATTGTTTGAAATGACCATGGGCCCTCCCGAGCGGGTTTTTGACATATTCCAACCGACTTTTGGGATTTCTCGAGATCGTATGCCTGAGCTCTATAAAACTGAGAAGATACCTGTCACGTGTCAAACGGAAAGAAACTTACCACTATAACGTATGATATAGATGCAGTAGATTCTACTTTCCGATCAATCCAGCCCAACTCATCCTCGTATTACCATCGGTTAGTCATTCAGCAATTGCATCTGTTCCGAAGACACACTCATCTTTCCGTCATATTCACCGTTCGAACTCGGTCACAAAGGGGCAAGTTTCTATATTAAGAACACGAAATGTTTAACCTTCATCATCCATTGAAATTGGGATGTGAATACGTCGACGTTGAAATCGAATCATCACGATTTTGTTAACAAACTTATTCGATCAAAGGACATGGCAAGATTATAGCGTAGCGTCATGGCATGATGTTAGCGGCCCGGATGAAATGGAACGGAAGTGAAATCAGAGAGATATACAAGTCGGCGGAAATGGAATCAAAATTATTGGTATCGCGAATGAACTGAACGATAACTTTGCTCTATATATACGAGTTTGTTGCGTCATTCCCAAGCAATGGTAAACCTATAATCGCCATTAACATGAAGGCAAGTGGACAATTGACGAGAATATTAAACAACACGTTCACTCCGGTCACTCATTCCAGTCACGGACAAATACATAATGCTCGCGTTTACTAGACTGTCATAATAATAAGGCTTTTTTCTTGTTTCAAAGTCGTCAGTTTAAAATTTTTTAAA